CCTGGTCCGGGGGGCCCCCATCACTGCCCTCCTCTCTGTGTGACGGCACCTATTCCCTTGGCTCCGGTGATCACCTGCAGGCTGACGTCCACTCCTGAACCTCTCTCTCCAGCCCACTGCTTCCCCTGAGCTCCACACCTGCAGGCCTGCAGGGTATGGCCAACAAGAGGCACATGCCCTCAAATGAACTCACCCTCACCCACCCTCCCCCTCAAAGCCTTCCCTGTTTTTCTGAATAGCCCGAACATCCATTCAGTGGCCCAAGACAGGAAAAGGGTGCCCTCCATGACTCCTCTCTCCCCTCACCCTCTTACTTCACTAGTCACCAAGACCTGTTGCTTCTACCTTCTGAACAGCTCTTAGAGCGTCTCCTCCTTTCCTGTCACTGTCCTGGTTCCACCACCATTATCCCTAGCCTGTATCTCTGCAGTGGCTTCTCAACAGTCCCTCCACTCTAGTCTCTGCACAGAAACCACGTTAACATTTTTCAGAAGCATGGGTCTGACCATCTCCCTTAAAGCCTTTCAGGGCTCCCTACAGCCCACCAGACCTCATGCCCATCCCGCTACTCTGTCCCCTACTTCTCCTCCCTGCATCCAGCTCCATCCTCTGCCACATCGGGTTACTTTCAGCTCGGCAGGCAGGCTCCCTCTCTCACATCTGGGCCTCACCCACGCCGTTCCCTCCACTGCCCACACTCTTCCCACATCCCCTACACAATTCTGACTCACTCTTCCATCTCGGCTTGGAGGCCACCTCTTCCAGGAAGACTCTTTAGATTTTGTAACAAGGGGTTTCTAGATGCCTCTCCAAGGTGCCACCACAGCGCCCTGTGCTTTCCCATCACAGCCCCCACGCCCTCAGATGACACACGCCCCCTTCCTTAACCTGCACCCCACCCCAGACTAAAAGCTCCCTGCAGACGAAGGCTGCACCACTTGTTCTCGACTGTTCCTGCAATGCCTAGCAGATGCTGAGTGCACGCCCAATAAACAGCTGTTAAATTAATAAATGAATGTCTCCTAAAAAATATCCAGTTTGGAGAGGGAGGAAATAGAGGGTGTTGGGGAGGGGTTCACAGGTTCTACCTTGGACTTGGAAGCAGGCTTGCCAAGGGATGTGGGACCTGCTACCCATACACCAGCTACAGAAGGCTCCTCGGCCAGCCATAGGGTCCAGAGCCACGTGAAGGGTGGGCCTCCTGGAGCAAGGAGGCAGGAGCAGAAAGGATGGATGAGGCAGCCAGCTCTGGGCTCAGCTGCCTGGCAGGACAGGGCAGGGGAGAGCCAGGGGCTGGCTGCTCTGGGCATCAGTGCTCTGTGTGCACATGGCCTGCCCTTCTCTCTCCTCCCTGCTACTTCTCCACCCACCTGGTGACTCTCGCCTTCTCTAGGACCACCTCACACAGTCCTTGCATAAATCCTGTGGTCCTGCTCTTTCCCTGCTCATCTCCCCTTCCTCCAGCCTTAGTTCTCCTGGCCTTCTCCCACACCACCCTCCTAGGTGGGGTGGCTACGTCCTCTGGGCTCTAGATTCCCCTGGTGGATAGACACAGAAAGCTGGCCAGTCACCCCATTACCAAGTCCTCCCTCCTGAACCCTGGGCCCACCACCGCCCAAGTCCTCCCTCCTGAACCCATTACCAAGTCCTCCCTCCTGAACCCTGGGCCCACCACCGCCACCTCCTGGGCTTACCCTCGGTCAGCCACAGGTGGATGATCCAGTAGATTTGCAAGCACTGCAGCTCCTTCTTCATGCCCCGCTTGCAGCGGCAGTCATAAAGTGGGCTCTCCTGCAGGACCTCCAGGGCCGCCTGGCACTCCTTGTTGGCCAGCATGGTGTTGCGATCGCGGCCTGCCAGGCACTGCCGCAGCGTGAGGTAGCGGGAGCTGCAGTTGGATTCGGCTGCACACACCTCATTGGCCCAGACACAGTCCACCGGGGGGTGCCAGCCATGGAGCTCGGGGGCCCTGCAGGGAGGAAGGGCAGGCCAAAGAGCGGAGGGTCTCGTCTGGGTGGTGGGGAGGGAAGAGAAGCATCAATGAGGACCCCAGAGGCCGGCCCAGGGACCTGGGCCCTTCTGGGAACTTCACGCCCATTTTACACCAAAGCACACCAAGACCAACATAGTGGAATAGTCCTCCTGAAACCCAACGAGAACTCAGCCGTCGTTCTCCCCTGGCTCCACCAGGGTGGCTTCCTCCTTGGCACCGGCACTGGGGCTAGGAGCACAGCACAGGAAAGCCAAGAAGTCCCTCACTTGAGACTACAGACAGTCTAAGACACCAGGAGTCCAGAGAAGAATGTCACAGCCTCAGCACAGAGCTGGGAGCTGCAGGGCTTGGTGGGGTGCAGAGGGGGACTTTCAGATCAACACCACCCCAGGCCTCCTGCAAACCCCACTCCAGCCAGAGGCCCATCCAAGGCGCTGTGTGAAGCCGTGAAAGCAGCAGAAAGTCACTGAACTTGCACGGTCTGTTAGGACCTTAGAGAGACACGCAGTCCGGCCCCCACATTCTACCCTTGGGAGACTGAGGCCCAGAGAACAGAGATGACAACTCAAGATCACCCACAGAAGCAGAAAAGCCCCTCCGACCCCTACTCTACTCATTCTGAGTTGCTAGATTGTAAGAGAAGTCAGGGAGAGAGAAGCCGAGCTCTACAGTCGAGGCGTCCCCAGCAGGCAGGGGCTGCCCCATTCCCTTCCAGGCCAGCCCGACTCTGCACCAGATGGAGACCTGAACTCTGCCTTCCATGGGACAAGTTCCACCCCAGCTCTCCCAGAAGCAAGTGCTTTAGACAAGCCTGTAGAGCAAGTCCCATTCCTCCGCCCGGCCCTGCCTCACCTGTCTCTGCCTCTCATGCCTCTCCTGCCACCTCACAGGGGCTGTGATTCTCCACCACCTTTTATCCGTTCTCCTTGACGGGCCCTCTCTCTCCTCCTCTCTCTTTCTCATTTTCTTTCCTCTCCTCCCCACCCATCCCCTGAAACCCTCTCTCCTTGTCTCTCCTTCTTTTCTGCCTTCCAAAAGCCAAATAAATCAATTGCAAATGGGAATTTTCCCCCCAGACCTCCTTCGGACTCTGGCCTGGAAGACCGACCCTCGCTTCTCCGCAAATGAGCAAGCGCCAGTCAGCCAGCCCTCTCCATCCTTTGCCCCTGGTGTCCAAACCCATAGGGCTTCAGAAGGGAGGGCATTGGGGGAGAAGATTATATGGAGGTGAAGGGCAGGGAGAGGCCAGCCTGATGCCTTCAAGGCCAAGCTCCCAAAATGGTTTCTTCCAGACATAGACGACTTCCTCTTCCCTGTCCTCCATCCTCTCCTAAGGCCCTGATTCCATATCCTGCCGCAGAAAAAGCCCATCCCATGTCCCAGAGCCATGCCTGCTTTTTCTAAGATGCAAACAGTGACTTGGGAGACTTCCTCCACTCCATCCCACCCCAAAGCATAATAAAATCGTAGGCCACAAGTCTCCCCCTCAGAATGCCGCAGAATCCCCTCGTCCTACCCAGAAGGGCCACTCCTTCCCTCAGGAGGCCCTGCTCAGGGTGGAGCTACTGCAGGGGGACAGCGACACCTAGAGGCAGAGCGCAGCACCGAAAGCCTGTCCCTCCCCAGAGCCCCGAGGGAAAAGGAACCCAGGCCACAAGGAGACCACATGGAGAGAGTGCTGGGGTGGGCCTGGGGTGGAGAAGACCTCAGGGCCACAGCAAAAGACCTTTCCTTCTCTCAGTGACCTCAGAACAAGAAGAGCTAAAGGCTGTGGCCAGACTGAACTGGACCAGAGAAGAAATCGCAGAGAATGGAGTGTGAGGCCCAGGCAGGGCAGTGGGGCATCTGCCCAAGTGCGGGCTGGAGAGGTGTCCTGCAACAAGCTGAGGCAGCATCTTTCTTTCTTGGCTTCAGCAGATTCCAACATCCCTGAGTGCATCTGGGCCACTCAGGAGCAGCTGAGCCGACATGGCCACTGGCACCTGCTACCCCGCCCAGTGTCTCGGCAGGCTTCTCCCCTCCCACCTTGACTGAGTCAAAGCCTGCACAGCCAGAGGAGGTCTGGGAATGGGACATCCTCTCATCCTCAGCCTTCTGTAGGCTCAGAATTCAAAGCACCCTTAAAGGTCAGAGTATTAGCCTAGGGAGGTTGGACAATAAGGATGCTTACTTACTCTCCTTGCCCTGCTGGTGGGGCCTAGGACCCCATGGGATGATCCTCACACAAGCTTAGGTAGGCTCCCAAACCAAAAGAAGCCTTCCCCAATCTGCCAATTGGCACGTGTGCCCAGGGCAGGGACATGCTCTGCAAAGGTCCAGGCATCCTTTCACCACACTGTGACCCCAGAACCAATCATGCCCAGCCAGAGAAAGGAATCGCAGCAACCTGCAGGCCTCAGCAGAATCCTAGGAGAGTGAAGGGCAGAGGGTATCCTGGTGATGTTTCCTAATCCTAGGTCAGGAGGAAACTCAGATCCACCAGGAACAGTCATGTCGAGCAGCTTCTAGAGACATGGGTCAACTGAGATGACACAGAACTACACCTGCCCTCCTGAGGTCCCCACAACAGCTAGAATGCCAGTCGGAAGTGGGCCCTCTGACCAGCTCCACTGCTCCAAGCCACCTTCCCCAGCTCATTCTCTCTTTGGGTATGCCAACGCTGCAGGTCAGGCGGGCTGGGCAAGGAAGGCCCTTCTCTCCACCAACGGTCCTCCACCCACAGACCTCACTCAGAACCTTGAGAGGGCCACATCAAAGGCCCTTGCTCCTGGAAAGACGCTTCACCATGCCCCCAGCCAAGACCGCCTACCAAAACTCAAGCTCCAGATAAACCTCTCTCACACGTGGAATTTCCAACCAACTCCCAACTATGGGCTCCTTGCCAGGAAAAAGGCCTTAAGGCTAAAGTTTCCACCAACCTATCCCTTTCTTTTGGCTGGCCTGACTCAGAGCCTCTCAATATCCTGCAGCAACTCAGTTAAGCCCTCAGCCCAGCTTACCAGGTATGGTCACTCTGCAGAGCCCATACCTGGTAAGATGCTGTGAACAAGAACAGAAAACAGTAAAAGTAAGGAAAGCGTGAGACATTAGAACTTGGAAGTTTAAGGGAGGAGTCTACTTGGAGCTCCCCTCATGAAAATTATTTAACAGAAATGTAATGGTCTAATAGCATTATTTTTTCTTGTATCCAAATTATTTTCATGTTAACCCCTAACCGAGGACAAGCACTGAGGATCTGAGAGGTAGAAAGCAATGGAAGCAATTCTGAAAAAGGACATATTGCTTGAGAAAGGAATGGGAGAGGAAGCTGCCCCAGTAACATGCTGGGGGTGACAGGGGTTGTTTGTTATCAGGAAGTTGGAACAGAAAATCAGAGGCAAGAAGGTGCCAGAAACAATCCGCCAAATTTACCATGCCTAAACTGTGTTGTGGGTCTGGTGGCAAATACACTGAGCAGATCACATGATCATCCCTCTTCTTTTTCGCTTTGGCTTTGACCAGGTGGTGAAGAACAGGACTTCGAAGCAACAGATTTCATCATAGGTTGTCTGGATTTCTTCCTGACCAGGATGATGCTGAAAGTTTACCTGCTCTGAGACAGGATCCAGACATTTGATAGTAAATTACCCCAAAATAATTGCCCTAAAAAATGGTTCCATTTGATGACTTTTTGTTAAAATCAGATTTTTTTTTTATTAACTCAATTCAGAAATGTTAAATGTCCTGACAGTCTTGCTAATGAAAATAAATGGCTAAGAAATGTTTGTTTATAGTTTTTGTTTTTGCTGGACAGAAAAGATCATCCCTCTCTTTCACCTACTAAGAACCTGGGTTTTGTTCTCCCCCAAAAAGATTATAACCAGAGCATATGGCTAGTGAATTAAGGTGTTAGAAAACAGTATAGATAGAACCACATATCGATGCCACGACACCTGTGAGAATTTTGCATTTGTTTGTAAAATATAAATTTCCCTAAGCTTGCAATGATTTTACAGTTTCTCAGTTGGTAGAGAACACGTCATTTGCTGAAATTGAACTGAAGAACGTGTGATTTGTGCTGGGTCACACAGCTAATTAATGGCCTGCAGCAAGACGTGTTCCCAGGAGTCTTGATTCCGGACCAAGTGTTCCTCTAAAGGCCAACAAGTCTGACAGAACAGAAAGTTTCTTTGCTTTTTTAAATTCACCATTAGCATCAGGAATAAAATATAGATGCAAATGTCTGCCTTGTTTAAACAGTATGTCATACCACCATCAAAATATTCTGACTGGATGCCTGTTAAATGACTCCCTTATCCTATGATGCTGCCTAATTTTTATGAATATAACTAAAGTCCTAAGAAGCTCAGTCTATAACAACAGTGGGCATGTCCTTATTCAGTAATATCCACAAAATGTTAGGAGCGAGCTGAGTACGTTTTGTAAATGCCAATAGCGTCTCTCTGCTACCTTGACCTGCAGCACCACTGTTCTTATCTAGGATGGAAAACACAGAACCAAGCTCTCCTCCAAACCCGCCATTCTGCACCTCCCCCCAAGCCCGCCTCCAAAGCCATGGGAGACACTCGTCAGCCTCGGCCCTCTCTCCTACTGGCTACAGCTCCACACTCCTTAGCAATGCAGTGCTCCAGGAAGCCCCTAAAAATGAAATGGATTTGGCAAATGAAGGGAAAGTTGTTTAAACATCCTAGTACTAAGCCCCTTTGCCGACATCCTGATACTTACTCTTTTCTTCTTCATACCTCACTCTCTTTATCAGAAAGGCAGTGAAGCATTTATTTGAATAGCTTGGTCCTTTCTTAGTTAGAGTGTACAGAAGCAAATTAACTATTTTTTGACATAAAAATTTTACAAACAGCCATCATGGTACTATGTGACAATAGAATGTTGAGTTTCTAGGTTTCTTTTCCTCTGTCCATTGTTATGACTTCATTTCTTCTGCTGCCGGTGGTCTGGCACCAACAGCCTCCTGTTCCCTCCATGTCTACCCCTCATCCTCCAAGTCTTTGCATCTAGTATCCCATTTTATATGCTGTAAGCTATAAAGCAGTGGGCTAAACTCATTAGGGGTGTACATGTAAAGTTAGTATCTGTAATGCTGTACAGGCTCCAGGTGGAAAGAATGTGGGACTGCTGTGGTTGAAGCTCATAGTCCCTTTTGTTAAGATCTGGGTGTGGCTGGATTGTGACACCTAGCACCAAAGATTGGGGCAGTTTAAGTGGAACCACTTAGCCCTGTTTCTTTCCTGCCTATGTCTGTTACATTTCAAACATCAATTCCCATGATGCAGGGGTTGGTTTTCTTTTTGTGATGTTAGGCGAAAGCAGCTCAGACCAGAGGTGCAGCCGATAAGTAGGTTGTTCTTGAAGTGTATAGAGTGACAATGGACAAATCGAGTCTCCAACCTATTTTCAGAAGGAGAAGCCCAACTTTGGTAGACTCAGGAGGTGGATGAAAGGGGTGGGGGACAGATAGGAGCTGGGGGGTGTGGCCTCAAGTGGAAGCAGAGCCCAGGTGTTGTAGAGAAGATCTCTCAGCAATCAGAGGGCATCAGGAGTGGAGGTCTGGTATGAAGGGGTTGTCTCTGAATGTTCATATTGGGGTCTATTTTTTTTATCAGCTGAGTCTGTTTCACAGTTAGTTTGGAATTCTGCTGTGATTTTCCCAAATGTTGGGTAGGCCTCATGGAGCATCTGTCAACACAAGTCCAACATTGCACCCTCCCCAGCACCTGACTAAGAATAAGAGGTGGGTTGTCCAGTCCCGGGCTGGGTTGAGAACCCTCAGTCCTTCTGCACAGCCGTACCCCACTTTCCTCTGCTGAAAGTGAGCTCATTATTGGGCTTGACTTTCCCTTCTTGGTTACATTCTTGTTTAAAGTTAGGCTCCATTTCAAATTCACTAAAGAGTGTAATGACACAGCCACTCAAAACATCTCCCTGGAAAGTCATCAAAGCTGACCACGGCTGATAAACGTGTTGACCTCCTGACATTCCTCATCCAGCGTGAGGAAGCTCATCACCTCCTCCTCTTTGCCTGTTGTAACTAGATCCATGGACGTTCACTAGTTTTACTGAGAAAATCCTGACAGTTATTCAGATTTTCCAACCCTCTCCTGATAACAGTCATCAACACAAGAATCACGTTGTCTGTCTTGTGAAAGTTGAGAATATTGATTGTAGGTTCCTAGAAATGGTTCTGGTGCCCTGTAAGAGTTGGTGTGGATGAGGAGAGTGAAGCCTCTTTTATTGCCATGAGTCAAGTCAGGGGCTCATTTTGGAAGTGCGGTATCTTCTGGACGCATCCAGATAGTTCTTTGCTTCCTGTTTTAGGTATCAAGGAGAATGTCAACAATATTGGGGGAGGTACTGGAATGATTATGAGTAGAAAATGGCTGTCTCCATAGTGTGTGCACGGAGGGTGTCCTTGAGGCTCTCTCAGGTTGAGGGCATCCCATACTCCAATGGCTTCATTTGTTTGGTCTCATGGCAAATACTTTGCTTCCATAGCCAGACGGACATCATGGACCATGAAGGACTGGCTATGACAGGCTGTGGTCATGGACCACCGGAAAGTGCTGAACTGGCTCATAGTGGAGTGAACAGCAATTCAGTGCTAGGATAGGATGCCCATCATTAGGGGGCAAGCACTGAATTTTAATCTTTTTAATAATCACATCTTCCAAGAAATCCCATCTGCAATTTTAAAGTGTCAGCCAAGGCGAAAGGCGCCCCATCCCTCCTCTCCATAGGTTATTTGCTCACTGCAGATGTTTCTTATTCCAGTCTTACCACAGCTGCCAGACAACAGACCAAAGAGCTTAGACAAGTAGGTCCTAGATCACGTGGTGTACTTGGGTTGCCAAACCCAGAATTGACTCCTCAGTGTGGTTTGCAATCTTGGCAAACCCTGTCTTATCTTAAAATGGAAAGTATATTCTTCAGGAAGAGAAAGATAAGTGATAAAACAGAGAGGATTTCAGGGAAGCATTGTTCTTAGACACCCACCCCGGCCCCTTGTCCTCGGGAGGTAGAATGTTGTCTTCTGCACGAGTCTAGCTCTGATCCAACAGACCCCTCTCTCCAGGGCTCCAAGCCCTTCCCTTCCCAGATGTCCAGGCCGGGGAGAAGCAGTTCTTGCTGAGCAGGGAATGGGCAGCAATACACTTCACAAAGACACGAGGTAATTACTGGCCAGAGCTCTGCATTTTGACAGACTCCTCTCTTCCTGGACTGAACATCTGGATGTGGCTGCTCCTCTTCACCTTCCAGCTCCCTGGAGCTGCAGCCCTCAGGCCCTCCTCGACCCTCTCCTGTGCTTCACATGGGGACAAGCATCCAGGGCAGCAGGGGTGGCAGCCCCCCACTGTGCTGGGCATTTTTTACTTCAATGCAGGTGGTGGCATGGAGCAGCCACACCTGGAGGCAGCAGCAGCTGGGCTGGAACCGTGCTGTGTCACTCTGCAGCCCTGTCACTGTGGAGCAGTCTCTTCCTCAGTGTGATCTTAGGGCTCCTTGTTTATAATGCTGCGAACACCCAGTGATGGCCACCTCCTCCCAGGCTGGTCTGAGTGTGATCACACGGTGCAGAGCAGGCTGGGAGCTACCAAGGACTGTACAGAGGAGGTGGTGCTTTGACTGAAGAGGTTGGCCTGTCAAGTGGTGCAAAGGGTCCTGGCCTTGGATATAGGACACCAGGGTAGTGAAACTGCTGATGGCACATGCATGTCCCCTCAGCATGCCTGAGTTCACCTGACACTGGGGCAGCAGGTCCTCTGCAGGCCTACAGCACCCTCTCCCCAGACAAGTGCACACACACACACATGCACACACATCTCTGCACACCCACACCTATGTGCACACACACACGACTGCACATACACACCTACAAACACACAACCTTGCACACACACACACACCCAAAGACACACCTCCACACACACCTCCACACACTCACACCTGCACACATATGCCTGCACATTCACACACCTGCCCACACACATCTGCACACATGCACCTGCACAAACACACACACACACACACACACACACACATACACACATGCCTGCACACAGGGCAAGAACAGGAAAGAGGAACACCACAGTGGACACCCACTGGGCTTCTGGGTGGAAGGACTGTGTTTTTAATGTTGTTCTTCATTCATATTGAACTACTGATTTACTTATAATCATTATCTTTTGTCTTTGTAATAAGTGCCTACAAAAATTGAAACCGGGTAATGTACTTTACTTAGTAGGTGAGTGTTTTGTGGATAATATTTAATGTGATGTTAATGTTTATATAAATAGAAAATAATGTGCATATTAAAAATATTCACATATGTGCATATTAAAAATATTCACATAACATGTAAAGGAGAATAAAAGGTTTTGAAAGTCCCACCCAGCAGAGCTGGTCCTCATTCATGGCTTGGTCACGTCTCCCAGGCTGTCTCTCCCATTCAACTTCCTCTGTCCTGTGTCTGTCTTTCTCACTCTCTCACCTAAACAGTCATTTACATACAGGTGAGTATGCATGTTGACAACACATAGATGTTTTTCAACCTGAGACCCTCAATACAGACTGGCCTTCACGACATGTTTACATGACAATTTCTCTGTGCAGCTCAGCAGCCGCTCAATGTCCCCTGGTCCATGTGGACCAGGTTTGAACACCTAGCCCCTCTACAGGATGTTAGAGATGTGGCCAGCCCCTTGCTACCTCTACCACTGCTGTGATGAAAAC